AAAAAATTGAGTAACTAAAGAATGAAAAAATTGGATAACCAAAGTAAAACAAAAGTAATATATGAGATAAAAAATTGAAAAGTTTATTTATGTTACAATTTTATCACTTTACTGCGAATGTATACTCATCATCACAACTTCTCTTCTTTCTTTCATCTTATATTTTTATTACTATCTCACTTATTTATACCATCAGGAAAAATTATCATCGTACGATGAACAAATTTTGTATAATGAAATAGAGGACAGATGACATTTGCAATGAATAATAATAGCATTTTTTTTTTTTTTTTTTAAACTGTGATAAGCAAAAAATTCACTTTTTTTTTTTAAAAATCATAAAATAAATAAAACTAAATCACACTGAATATATTTTATCTTAATCATTCCTTGATTTTTATCTTTCTCATTTAATATTACAGCATTGAAAGATATAAGTTAAAATAATGATATGAATATGTAATATCATATCATATCAATGATAAGAAAATGCATTAAATGAAATAAGATCTTAAATATGCCAACTACTTTTCATATCTTATATGGGGATCTTTTTAGCCTATTCCATTCATTACATTATCCTCCTTTCCTTCCTATTTACATCTCATATTATAAATGGTTCAATTCCTGAGAATGCATGCATTTGCATGCTATCTCTCTGCATGCTATCTTTGCATGCTATTCAATCACATTACACATACCGAGATAAACGGTTCTAAGCAATTCTCATATCACCTATAACAGCTTTTATAAAGATATCCACATAGATCCACGGCGAGAGCTTATTATCTGTGTATGTGTATGTATGTATGTATGCGTGTATGTATATATATATATATATGTATGTGTGCATGTATGTGTGTGTGTGTAGGTGTGTGTGTGTATGTGTACGTGTATGTGTATGTGTGTGTGTGTGTGTGTATGTATGTGTATATTCTTGCTGTGATTGCAATGAAATTGATAGTTATGTATAGACAAGCCTTTTCATTTTTGAGCTGCTCATGACTTGAGAGGCATTGCAATCTGCTTCAGGGCGGTATGGAACCACATCATTATACTTCCCATACTATTTTACATTTCTCATTTATTTTCTATTTTTTACTTTTATTTTTTGTCAAATTTGCCATGTAGAATACGCGCATGAAAATATATGTGTATGGCTGTGCATGTGTGCATGTGTGTGTGTGTGTGCATATGTATGTGTGTATGTGTATATGTATATGTGTGTGTGTGTGTGTGTATCAGCGTCTGTGTGTGTGTGTGTCAGTGTGTGTGTGTGTGTAGTCAGTGTGTGTGTGTGT